GGAGGGTTTCGGTGGGCCTGTAACCTGCCGGGCTGCAGGATCAGCTCTTAACCAGAGAAGTGGTTTAACTTCTGCGCCTTTTGCTTTTTTCCTAGTCTAAGTGCTGTTTATCTTTTGTTAGTCAAGAAATAACAGCCTGTTGTGGCTTTTTCTCAATTTTTAAAGATTGAGTCCTTTGTAACTCTGGTTAGTCTGTTCATATTTGGCAATAGTTTTGAAGAGTAATCTGCAGTCTAAAGACTAATCTGTATGTGGCTGAGATAGAATAAGTTTATAAGCAGTCTCTTCGTTTGTGTTAAGTTAAAGGAGATTTCTACTTACAATTTTCTGTTCAAGAATTTAAAAAAAAATCAGCTTCAGTATAACTAACAGCAACAGCCGCTATAAGAATGTGGTGGTGTTTGCTTGGTCTTCCACTGAATAAAGTAGTTGATGGCTTGTAATACTTTGGTTCACCATCTATTATGTTGCATTATGGAGATTTGTGGCTGGAGTCCATGTAGGATTAATTATCAGAGACGCAATTAGCAAAGGATTTCTGTTTTGCTTATTTAGTGTTGGTGAACCATTGCTTCCCAGTGACCAGTCAGTAACTTAAAGCTGTCGGTGTTCTATATTGGGTATGTTTTGCATGTTTACTTTTATAAGGATTCTAAGCAGCTCACTTGTTATTTTTATTTAAGTTTTTGGGGTTAACTTAAATTCCTGTGGTTTCAGCAGTGTCTAAAACAGGCTTTGCAGTTAGCAGGCTTGAAGTGTGAGTTTGCTGGTCACCTCATTCTTCCTGCCTTTTTCCTTTATTGTCAATTCCTTGCAAGTTTGAATGAGGGTCAGAAATATGTGCTTTACTTAAATCATGCTTTCAGAAGCTTTAATTAAATTGGGTTTGGCAGATGAGTTTCCATTCATCTTTACTTGCTTCCTTATGTGTGAGCTGTTCTCAGTTGTCACAAAGATGCTCAGGTGTCTGCCGGCGGTACTTGTAATCTCTGTGTTGAGCCTTCGTCTTTTGAAGGACGGTGGAAAGACAAGGCTGACAGCTGAAGTCCTTGTCTTTGTGTAAACTTGGGAATTGCCTCTTATCTCTACCACCTGCTCTCTCAATTCCAAATCCAAGGGGAAACAGACTGGGAGGTTGTTGCTTCCTTGAGACATCTACAGTTAGAGCAGGAAGTGCTGAGTTCTTCCAGTTAATCAAAAGGGCAGTCTGGCTCTTGGGAAGTCTGAAGAGGTCCATGCAGATGAGAAAGCTTGTTTGAAGCAGTCTCCCAGCCTGGTCCAGCTCAGATGGAGACAGGCCTAGGGCTGTATCACTGCTGGAGTTCACGATGGGGATGCTGCACTCTTCTGAGAGCAGGAACACTTGAGCATGCTGGTGGAAAGGAAGTAGGCTCAGGTGGTGAGCGCCTTGGGGAGCGGGGCAAAGTTTGGTCAACAGCAGTAGTGCCAACAACGCTTCCTGGAGTGGGCTGAACTGTGTGGCTTTGGGCTAGCAGCAGTGGCGGCTCTTGTCACGGCAGGCTGTCGGCGTCCTTGCAGCAGTCACCATGGCACAGCCTGGTGATCTGTGTGGCGGCGTGTGATGGCTCGTGTGCAGGGCTGGGCAAACTGGGGCAGGCCTCCATCCCAACCACCTCCCTCTGCTGCCAGAAGAGAGGGGCTGGTGGCAGTTGTGTCACTGGGAGAGAGCTATGAATATTCCAATCTGTACGTTGTGCGTGCAAGTGGTGACCAAATCCAGGCCTAGTTCTGTCCTTGCTGTTCCAGCTGATGATCCTAAAAGCTACCCTGATGCTGATACCAGTACTGCACGTGCATGTCATTAGCACCCTAGTTGTGATATATGTGTGCTCTGGGCAGTAGTTCCTATTTCCTACTGTCTAAATGATTGGCTAATGAAGGACAAAACAGTGGAGATGCTCCAAGGACTAATGCAGAACCACCAGGCACTGCTAGCCTGTGTTTAATTGATACTGGAAGGAGACCGGCTGGCTGTGCCAGTGAATGGTTCAGAGTAGCTAAACCTGGGAGCTGCTTTCCCAGTTCAAGGCTAGGATTTGTTGAGAGTAGCTCTGTGCTTTCCTCTGTAAATGCCTGATTGATGCCTATAAACTTACTGAGAATAAAGCTTGTTTTTCTCCTGTGGAAGAACAGTTTTTACTTTTTTTGTGTGTGATTTGATGGGTAAATAGAAGATACTTAATTTCTTCCGTGTGCTGGGGCTTGAGTTTCAAACCAGTGTTCACTAAGTTATGCAAGCATTCGTTTAACTTCCTCTAATGTTTGTTTTAGTTGAACTTTTCATCCAAAACTTGTGCTGAGATGGGAACCATTGCCAAAACTGAAGACCAGGTTAAAAAAAAAAACAACCCAACCAAACATCATCACCTCTTCTCTGTTTCTTGGTTGTTTGTGTGTGTTTCTTTTTTTGTGGGTTTTTGTAGTCATCTGTAACTTGTGTCACATGTGAAACCTGTACATGAGAATACTCTGCTTCGTATGATGCTGGCATGCTGAGATACATATCCCTTTCTCTTATCCTAACGAATACAAAATGCACCTTGAAGGTCATTCAGGATGGTGGTTTGGCAAAGGTATTTCTGGTTCCTTTTCTGAAGAAAATAGCCTGTTAAAGAATTTTTAAAGACTGTTGTATCTTAAGAGAGCTTAGCATGTTAATCCTACTTCTTGTCTGGTTTTGGCAGTACTTACAGCGGCAAGGTGTTCCGTGTTACCTTCTTGACTTTGGCTGCCTCTCTAACTGTGCCCCTGCTTGGAGTAACTGTTCTGCTGGACTGTCCTATAGACCCTCAGCCTATAAGGTAAATTGTTGCTTTGTTTTGAAATAAACGTAATTGAAATGTAACTTTTTGTATGTGTCCTGTTGGTTGGGTTTTTTTGTTTGGTGTGGGGTTTTTTTTGTTTGTTTTTTTCAGGAAACAAGAGTCAGCTGTGTGAAGTGGTTCTAACTGGATTGAGAAACTGGGGAGTGATTGCAGTACTATCAATTGCTGTGGCTTGCTTCACACACCCAGTCTGTTTCTGAGCTATCTTGTGCAGTTGTGTGTCACTACTGATCACTGAAGGGGCTGAATTACTTTCTTTGATCGTTAATCTAGAAGGTTATTTTCTGCTGTCCAGGCTGTCACTGGAGCTTGTGATTACTTAGATGCACTCTTGCCTTCTGACTTTTCAGTAAGGACCAAGCTGTACATCTGCTATTATAGTTCTGTCAAAGAGAGACTCTTTATCTGAGGATGGGAATGGAGGATAACCTGACTGGCTTGATTTAGTGCTTTGTACCAATGGAACCATATGCTGATGTTATATTTAAGTGCAGAACTCATAAAGCAATGCAGCTAGGTGAATGTCTGAATTCGTAAACATCTGAATCAAGGTCCGTATCAAATGTGTAGCGTAAAAGTGCATCAGCTGTGTGAGACGACGTGACCTGTGTTGGGAGAAGTTGTGTGTGAAAGGCTTTGGCTGCTAGCATAGGGTGGAGTCAGGCTGTTTTGTGCTCCTGGCATTTTGAAGTAAGTGAAAATGCTCAGTCTGCTGAATATTTATGATCAACGCAATTCCTTCAAGAAAAGGAACACCACCACACTAAATATCTCGAGAGTTGAAAGAAACTGTTAATGTGTTAGGGTAGTACTTACAAGTCTTGCCAATAGGCTATTAGATGTAAGCTGCATCACTGCAAATCATAATGAAATGCTTTCTGCGGTGGTTGGGTTTAACAAAACCCAATTCCTTGAAATGCGACTGAACACTAATTCTGAAAGCCAGCAGGAGGTGTTTATAATGCCTTTCCTGTTACACAGTCTTGATCTACTTCTGGCCTAGGGTAACAGTATTCTTACTTTAAGTCCCTTTTACAAGACTGGGAGAACTATTTTTCCTGTCCAAATCACTGGCTTATATTGCTGCACATTCTTAATTAGCTGCTTAGCTTCCCTGCCAGAAGTGGTTCCAGTCTGTACAACAGGTAGGGTGATGCTGCGTGATGTTTATGAAAGGCTTTGAGAAAGCTCAGGGAGGTGGGTGCTCTCTGAACCAACCCCTTCTGTGAAAGAGCACGTAGAAATCTCATGTGCCATTAGCTATGTTTCTCCTGTAAACCGCTGGAAATAATGAGGAATAAGAGAGCGGAGAAAGAAGCAGATGTGTTCTGTGCAATTCCTGCAACTCTGGTTTACTTAAAGTTCCTTCTTTATGAGCCTGTCTTGGATAATGTTGATCCCAAGGAGGATTTGCTGCTTGCAAACACAACTGTCCAAAGTTCCCAGCAAATGAGTTCCTTATCTGAAGCCAGTTATCCTCAGCTGAAACGCTCTAATGCTTGGAAGAAGGGATGGAAAATGAACGTGTGTTAGCATTGTGAAGATAACTCTGCTGTAAATCTTCTGTGGACAGGAGCTAGTAATTCAGTTGGCTTTGCCACTGCAGTAATATGGACTGAAAGGAAAGTTTGCTGTCTGAAACCAGACAGATAAAAGTATGTATTTTTCACTCCGTCTGAATTATGTTTTGAACCTGTTTTCCTCAGTTGTCATTGCTGTTATAGTTTGCACTTTCAGTTGACTTCCCCCCCTGCCCCCCAGTCACTTAAGCTGTAGAAATTGTAACGATTTCTATCATATGAGCAGTAGAGTGACAAATAGGTCGTGGATCATATGAATCTGGGCAAGTTTTTGGAGTCAAACCTCGTCTTTTTAAGATTCTGCAGGTGGAAGGCATTTGCTTACGGTCATATACAAGTTATTTTAAAAAAAATAAAATTGAAAAATTCTTTGAAAGCTTGGCCTGGGGAGCTTTCACGTGCTCTTGTGAACAAACCCCTAATGACCTTACCACCCTGGGCGTGTATGCAGCTTTTACTAATAGCTTGAAATCCTTAACTCATGGAGGCTGAGGTGGCTTATAGGTGTGCTTTTAAGAACCTAAGAGACTGAAACTTGTTCAAGTCTGCCAGCACAGTTAAGGCTGGGTTTGAAGCACAGAGCTTTGGACCCTGGTATTTACACTGAAGCTGTGTAGGCATCTCACTACTTCCCTTCTCCCTGTCTCTCTAGCTGGTTGCAACTCCAGTTGGCTTCAACCTCCCTATTTATGTAAATAAGGGCTTGCAAGGTTGGACCTTATTATGTCATTTTGAGATTTCAGTTCAATACCCTTTAAGTATTTGTGTTGGTCTTCCTCTGTTTGGATGGATCCAAGTCACGAATGAGAATATCTGTTTCGATATGGTACAAAAGCGTGTGTCCTAGCGCTTAAACTACTGCATCACTTTTTTCTCTAGTTGTATGCTAATTAGTAATTAAATATATTTTTTCTTTAATTACTTAGAATAATTACATTCTCTTTATTTCACTGCTATGTAGTGTCAGGTCTCAGTGTATTGTAAAATGCCAAGCTTCTACATTTTAAAACATTTTCGCTTAGGAATTTGCGTTTATCTACTTAGCTGTTTCTACCAGAATATTTTTCCTAATTCAGCCGAGTAAGAAAGCAGTTGTTCTGTTGTGTGGTGGCAATGCAGAAATGCTTTGCCTTTGTGTAAGACAGATGAACTAGGAACGTGTTGATAGACTTGAAGCTTTGTAGATTTCCAGGTACATCTTAGGAACACATAACTGCAACTTTTCTGATCAGCAGAACCAGTACACTATGATCTTTGAACAAAAGTGAGTATCTTTTTCTGCTTGTCAGCTGTGGTTTGTTGTGGGTGGTTTTTTTTTCCTGTGTTTAAATATGCTGTATGTAAACCATAGGTCAGGCTTGCAGGAGTTAGCCAACTGGGAAGAAAACGATCCAATGTGTTGCTCAAGAGTGTTTGCAGATTTGCACAAAGGACCCTGAGGTCTGTGTTCTGTTTTGCAGTCTGAAGGAACCTCCCCTCCTGACGGGATCGCTAGAGCCCAATACCAAGTTACGACAGGCTGAGCGGTTGTGGGAAAATCAGCTGGTCGGACCAGAGTCCATCGTCAATATTGGGGGTAAGCACTGACAAAATAAGCTTTTAAAGAAGGGTCTTTAAATGTTACTCCTTTGATGAGGTTGTGTTTAGCAATATAGCTCTTAAATAACTTCCAGAGTTTGATATCTTGAATATGCAGCCTTTTAAAAAAAGGATTGAGTTATGCCACAAGACCTGGCTACTATATACTGCTTTTCGCCTCTTTCCCCCTATAAAATAAATCTTGTTGCCAGATTAAAAATCTCTTGTCTTCCAGGATGTCAGCAATGTAGTCAGGGGCTACTTAACATTTGGAAGAAGTGGTCCCGTTTTATTTTTGGCTAGCTCTTAATGGGGAATTAATATTTACAGGGTACTACCTACTCTGTCAGTGCTCATTGCTTCTGAGGGAGCTGAGTGTTGTGCTGTGAATTTTTGCCTATAGGACAGAAAAAATCTCAAATTAATCAAAACATGTTTACATTTTAATGCTGTTGCATTCATTACTGGTGCTATCCTATCCTTCCCCCTCATGGCACGTGTTCTCTCCAGATTACAAAGCCATGCCTCCTCTGAGCAGTTTCCTAATGATGTGGCTGGACTGTAGTGGCATGACACCCAGTCGGGGAACCAGCTTTGTGCAGGGGTGGTTCCTTTCCTTGCGCCCCCTGAAGGGAGTTAAGGCTAGAAACGACCCTTGATGTGAGCACTTGACTGTTTTAATGTGGAAAGGGAAGGGTGTGGTTGCTGAAAGCAAGGCCCTTACTGAAACATCCTTCAGTACAAGAGGTACTCGGTAGCCTTATCATTGTGTTTTTTTCCTTCTGCTGTATCTTCTAATAAATTTGTAAAAATATATATATAAAAAAAAAAATACCCAGCAAGAAACTACTGTAAAATCTTCTCTCAGGTTATGCTTTTTGTACCTATCTCTGTTAACAATGTGCTAAAGTGATTACCTGAAGCCACTGATTCTTTTCTGTTACCTAGTTTTGTCAATCTCATAGGAAACTCTTAAGGAAACCTGCAAGGGACAACTGTCCTACAGGTGAAATAATCAACGTGACTGGCAATGGGTTTTGTATGAGTGAATGTTGAAGGCTTCTTATTCCTCTTTTAAAAATGTAATTAGCAAGCTTTAACTTCAGTTAAATTGAAGATGGGAAAGTCCAAGCAACAGCGTTTACTAATCCAACGGTCTTTTGTTTAATTTGGTTGCATGGAAAAGTTTGTGTTGTTTGTATTCAGCGAATCTGTCTTATGCCATCAGGTGGCTTGGCATGAATACAGTAAATCTGGCAATGCTTTTGATTTGGGTGGTTGTTCACTTGCTATGGTTTTTGTAATTCTTCCCCAGAACTGATACAGTATGAGTGTTGGCAGGTGTCCAGCAACCTGTGTGGACTGTATCAGAATGGGAAGTTCTAGCCGGTCAGTTTTGTTGATGAGTGGTAAGATGGTTGTGGTGCCACGTCCCATTTGATGTAGAAATTTGCCCAGAGGGATCAATCCAATGACTAGCCATTAAGTTATATCCACTTTTAATCCAGGATTTGGACCACTTACGCTTGAAAAGCTTCGTACCCTGTATTCATAACTCCTAAGGCTTAAATCTTTTCTCTTCTTTTGGAGTTGGAAGAAATCTAACTAAATACTCTTATTTGCCTTCATCTTTCCCTTTCCCTCTTTATTCTTTTGCTATGACTGAAGAAGACTCTTACTTCACTCTATCTTAAACATGAAACTGTGCTAGCAGAAGGATTATGTGGAAGGATGTTTGCCACTAAGTTTTTTGATCAAGCTAATCACACAAGTTGTTCTTGCAGATGTGCTCTTTACTGGGACAGCGGATGGGAAGATTATCAAAATTGAAGATGGGGAAATACAAACAATAGCAAGAATTGGCCATGGTCCTTGTGGTGAGTGACAGCTCCTGAACACAGCGTGCCTGAAAACATCTGGGCCAGGGCTTCTGCTGTTTAAACTGGTGCTCTGCCTGGGTTGCTCATGTCAGAGCATATCTTCCTCTGTGGACGTTTGTGACAGAAATATTAGTATTACTGTTTGTATGAATGAAGCATGAATGGAAATATGCATATAAGCACTGAGAGGAACAGCAGAACAAAGGACCAAAAGAATGAGAATGAGTGCTCTTGATTTAAAAAACAAACAAACCAAACCAAAACAAAAAACCACTCCTCCCAGCAGTAAAATTCAGGTACACGGGGATTTTTTGTCCTGACTACAAGGTCTGTGCTCTGGTAAGGCCACAGCATGGATGACTTGTTGGTAGAAGATCCTGCATCTTAAGACCAGGAGGAAGATGAGGTTGAAGAGCATCACAGATAACATTCCTTTTCCTGTTAGTCCATCTAGAAAAAGCACGTATCCTAAACAAGAAAAAAATGGGCAGCAACGTGGCATAATATTTATGGAAGCTGAAGGAAGCAAGATTCCAAGGTGAAGGGCGCTCCGTAAAAACTGAGGACTCGTAAACAAGTGTGAGCGAATGAACACTGAGATAATGCGTGAGTGCGAAAGATCAACTTCCTTAGCAGCTTTTGAAAGGAAGTGTCACCTTCCCATCTGTAGAACTTTGCCTTGCGCTTTGTTGTACTGATTTCCGTTCCTGTATTTGTAAATACAGCAGAGGGGAGTTGTGGTGGCTCCACCTGCTCTGGCAGAGATCTTCCTTGGGTCATGTCTTCTCTACGCTAAATTTCGGTGGCTGAATTCCACACCTCTTTCTGAACCACTTAATTGCATCCTTGAATGAGATTTCTGGAGCTGAGTGAGAAAAGCTGGCAGCGGCTTCTTCATTAACAAACCATTTCTATGGGGAAGCTGGACTTGACCATCCCAGTACAGCCATGCAGTCTGAGGAGCCTGGCTGGTGTGTTTTGGGGCTGTGGGTGGTTTTGTTTGTGGTAATGATGTAGAAGCTTCCGTGAGGTTCTGCAGCCCTTTGCTGATTGCCAGTTAGACAGAAGTTAAACACAGCAACAGCTCCTGGCTGTCTGTAGCTCGCGCTGACACATTCACTGTTTCAGCCATGTAATCTTACATGGATGTTGACGTAATTAGGCGCTGGATCGATTCGGAAGCGCTCTCTTGGCTGCATAACAGGTAGGACAGCCTTGGTGCTGACTGCCACCGAAGTCTGCTGCCAGCTGGTAGGAAGATGGACTTCCAGCTGCTGCTGAGGTTGTGCTGGATATGAAGAGTCACCTTCCCACTGCTCATTTCCATTGGACTTGTACAGCTTGGGAGAAGTGGGCAAAATTATGCTGCCTTGTTTCCTTGGGGCTAAAGAGAGAGTGAGGAGCCTAGAATTCTGTCTTGCCCTCCTAGACTTGGGGAGGGAAGTGGAAAGGCTGTAGCAGACTGCCTTCTCCAGAAGTTTCTCGTGCTAATCTTTAAAACTACAGACGTTCTCAGGTTCTTTGTTCTTCAGGCCTCAAGGAGACAAACTTTTCAGATTTGCAGTGTTCCCCTTCCGCCTCACACAGAAGTCTTCAGTGTCTCTGTCTTGAGAAACTTGTTGTTTCATGACAGCATTGGACCTTTCCAGGGGAAAACGTTACAAGATGTGCATGTATTTCTTTTTTAATAAAAGAAACCAGCAGTAAAACTGATTCTTTCTGGGAAGAAGCATTTAGTTACATCCAGTTTTCTGACATTCAGCCCTACTTGGGGCAGCTGTTAGCTACCAGTCTGGCAAACTATCTCTAGACTGGTGACAACATGGGGATAGCTGTTCCACTCACACCTAGGAAAGTAAGAATCATTTCTGTAACGAATGTGTGTGGTGCTGGCCATCGAGTTTTGTTAAGCTACAGTTTGACCTGTGTAGGTACCCTGAATGCCTTGTCTTTGTTTCTATTTGGAAAACCATTTTAAAATTGTTTTCTAAGGAACCCGAGAAGATGAACCAACATGTGGAAGACCACTTGGCATCAGAGTGGGGCCAAATAACACCCTTTTTGTGGCGGATGCTTATTATGGACTCTATGAAGTTAATCCTGGAACAGGTATGACTTTCTGCTCTTCTGCTGACAAAACTGGGGTTCCTTTGCAGTTTTGCGAGACGCTGCAGGCAAAAGAATGCCTGCCTTTGTAAAGTGATGTGGAGCTGTCTGAATGAAATATGCCACGCAAGGACTTGATCTTTTTCTTGTGGCAATTATTCCTTTCTCTAGATCAGAGTTACCAGTGTTCTTATCTTCTGGTGACATATGCTTTTGGTTGTCAAAATGAGTACCTCAGGATCTGTGAATAAAGCTCTGTGTAGCTGTTTCAGTTTTCATAAAGGGGAAAAATACAGTTACATGAACTCTGTCATGTTTGCTGTACTTTTCTTTCTGCCTTGATCTTGCTGTGTTGTAGTGAAGAGCTCTTAACTTCCCTGTAACCCCAATCTGTAGAAAGTGAAAAAAGATGTATTTTGGTGCAGCTGAAGATCCAGTGGCTTGTTCCTGCTGGGGAAGGCACTGTGGCCTTGTGCCCTTCGTTGTATGTTTCCCTGAGCCAGATCTCCCTTTTAGGAGCTGTGCTGTCAGAAAGCAAGAGTTGCTTTCTTGTAGGGTTGATTTTCTGACTGTTTACATCTGAGTTGGCTTCAGGTGGGGAGAAGGAGGCTAGCCAAATACTAGGTGAGATGTAACTAAAGGACTCAGACTGGAGGGTGTGATCAAGGTCTCCCATTTCAATGGCTGACAGCTGCCATATCAGCTCAGTCATGGTGAAAACAAGCAAACGAACAACTGCCCAAAGGTGACTTCAATAGATTTTGGTTAATTTGTAGAAATATGACCTTAATTTGCCTGGTAATACGTGGCAGAGCTGCCTGTGGCAGAGCACGTTAGTGAACCTGCTGATGTTTTAATGTTTAGAAAGTGCTTTGTATCTTGATTTGTGGGGAAAGAGGGAGTAGTGCCTGCATCCTTCTACAAGGCTGGGACCTGAGTTTGCACTTGTTTTCATAAGAGCTTCAGAAGCCTGAGAAGTCTGGCACTTGTCACTAGGGAACATCACTTACTGTTTCAGTTTTCTGTATTTTCCCCTGGTCATTCATGTTCGCTGTTGAGTTGTTCCATTTCAATCCAAAACCTTATTACTTAAGAGGCACGAATGGAAAAGGGTGAAGTGCCTGTTAATTTCATGTTAGTATTTAACCCACTTCCAAGACAGGACATACAAAAGCTTGTTTTGTGTGTCTTCCCCCTCCCTCCTCCCCCCTTCTTTTTGTAACCAGGTGAAACCAAAATGCTGGTGTCAACCAAAACACTCATTGAAGGTCAGAAGTTGTCATTTGTGAATGATCTTACAGTGACCCAGGATGGGAGGAAAATCTACTTCACTGACTCTAGTAGTCGATGGCAAAGACGAGACTACTTGTACTTGATCATGGAAGGCACAGATGATGGGCGGCAAGTATCTCTTCCCCAGGGCATTTAGCTTACTGCAAGCTCAGCTGTAGGAATGGACTTACTGGTGGTGGGCACTTCCTTGGTCTTCATTTTTTTTTTTTCTCTTTGCAAACACTGCACTGCCCAGAGGGGATGAGAGAATGTGTGGATGTTGCTAATGAAGCCTGCAGCAAAATAAATGAGATTCCTCTTTTTCCTTCAAGACTTGCATGGAATGTTTAAAAAACCTTTTAAAAGAGAAGGTGTTAGCATGTTCAGCCTAAATCCTGTAGGCATGCTGCCAAGCTCACGTGGCTTAGTATTTGTCCTGTGTTCATAAACAAATGCTTCCTGGCCATTCTGCCTTTTTAACTTAGTTGAAGTGCATGCAAGAGAAGATAGAATGCCTGGAGAATGAAACCAAGATAAATATTTGTCTTCATTCAAAACCATATATAATGCTTCCTTTTTAGCCTACTTGAATATGATACAGTAACAAAAGAGGTGAAAGTCTTAATGGTGGGGCTGAGGTTTCCCAATGGTGTCCAGCTCTCTCCTGCAGAAGATTTTGTCCTGGTGCAGGAGACAACCATGGCTAGAATCAGGAGGTGAGTATGACTTTGCCAAAATGATTACTGCTCTCCGTTTAGAGATTGTTTAAATAAATGACTTGTCTGACAAAAGAAATCCTACGCTCTATTCATGCCGAATTATCACTGGCAAAGAAGGTGGCCTTCCTCCATACTTAATCTTTATTTTCACTGTAAACATCTGGACTGCATAATCTTTCCATCGTGAGCTTCTTGAATGTAGTGGAGTAAGCTGATTTTTCCTGGTGAGAGGAATGTGTCTCTGCTCTGTTTCCAAAAAGAAAAAAATTATTTTTTTTAATGTTGTGGCATTTACTTATTCCTTAGACTGCTTGAGTGAAAGATGCACTAACCCTCCTATCTGTAACTTTCAGGTATTATGTGTCTGGGCTGATGAAAGGTGGAGCAGATATGTTTGTTGAGAATATGCCTGGTCTTCCAGATAATATCAGGTTAAGCAGCTCTGGAGGATATTGGGTAGCAATGTCAGCTGTCCGACCCAATCCTGGATTTTCTTTGTTGGATTTCTTGTCTGAAAAACCATGGATTAAAAGGATGATATTTAAGGTAAAAAAAGAAATAAAATACTGAGTCTCCTTTAGTATAGGAATGGAGATTATAAATATCTGTTTGTCCTGTTTCTTCCTCTTCACAGGAAGATTTTTAAGTTTTCAGTGCCGTGGTTAAAACTCTTGTGGTTGTCCCCACATAGAGTCCTTATTTTCATAGGTAGTAAAACTAACTTTTGCTTCTCTGAGTAGCAGGTACGCATCTCTTAAGTTGCCTTCCATCTTGATCTCAGGAAGGAAAAAGAGACTCTCTCTGCCCTAGCCATGCAGCCACACAGGATCTACATTTGGATACGTGAAGACTTCACCTTTGTACCTGAAGTGCCTAAACTACTTATTGCCAGGTGTCCAGTGGGCATTCATGATGTCTGCCTGTTCTAATGACTGCCCTAGGCATCCTAGACAGCGTGCATGTTACGTGTGCTGCTAGGTGACTCTTCGTTCTGACTCAGTCTGCCTGTTTTTATGTCACACCCCCCTTTAGGATGAGCAAGAATGTATTTTGAAAGGGATATCTGATGCTAAAGAAAAGGCACGGTGCTTTTTAAACAGTGCAAAGACTTAAATACTTTAATTCTCAAAAAAAGAAAAAAATCCACAGGCAGTGTTTAGGATGGAAGTAGTGCAGGAGCCTTAAGGAACCGATGCTGTGGGGAGCAGAGCATGATGTCAGCTGCTTGGCATCAGCTGCAGCAGAATGAGCTGATGTCTCCTGAGGGGATGTCCTTTCAGCTTAGTGCTGGAGTGGAGTAGCTTCTGCTGGTCGGCTTAAGTTGGCTTTTCAGATGTTAACGTGTTAAGCCTGTGTAAGAAGGCCTGCTTATGTTCTCAGCTGCTTCTTCCAAGGAGTGTGGGATGCTCTCTGACTCTGCAAGTGTCTGAGGTCTAATTGTGGAGGACAAAATCTTTTTGTTCTTAATTTTCCTTTTTTCTTTTCCTTTTAGTTGCTGAGTCAGGAAACTGTGACAAAGTTTGTGCCCAAATACAGCCTTGTTGTCGAACTTAGTGAGACAGGATCCTACAAAAGAAGCTTTCACGATCCCAACGGAGTGACGGTAGCTTACGTCAGCGAGGCACATGAGCACGATGGATACCTTTACCTGGGCTCCTTCCGGTCTCCGTTTATCTGCAGACTTAATCTTCAGCATGTTTAACTGTCCATCCATGATAAAGTGCCACTGTCCTATAGCGCTCCAGAGGTACGAAGGAAGTGTGTGCTTGGGGTGGCGTGTGACCAAGGACAGAAAGTCTGTTAACGTACAGTAGCGCTGTGCTATTGCCATAGGAAACTGCACAGCTTGCTGTTCCTGTCCTTTTCCTTGGTTTGATTGCTCTTGCTTTGGAGTTGGCATGCATGCTCATTAATATCTGAGGAGTATGGTGGGGCGTTGTCATGTGGTTATGTGCTCCCTAAAGAAAAATCCATTGCTTTTCCCCACCCAGCCCTGTTTGGAGTCACCTTAAACAGACGCCATCTGTCATCTTTAACGCGACTGTATGTCTCCTTACGCTGGAAGGATTCGTGATGTATGGAATCGAATTCTGTTTGGTTTGGATTGAAGAGGATGTCTTGCATGTGTTCATGTCTATTTTCGAACCTCTTGTTCAGGAGTGATTACAGTGCACATTCTGATGTCGTACCATGGTGCTGTGGTAGAGGCAGCAACAGCCAGAACATGCCTGCAAATCTAGTTACACCATTTGGGTTTCTTCAATTCCAGCCTGTGTAGTCAACATCAGACATAACAATTAACTGTTAATCAACATGCAGAATCAAATCTGATCGTTATCTGTGGACTCCTGTATTTCTTTATGGCATTGTAGTCCGATGATGAATGAAAGTTTCATTTTCTGTGTTATTAAAGACTAATTTCAGCGGGTTTAAGAAGGGTCACTGTAGTATTTACTCCGTGTTTACCAGGTCCTGTAAGTCTCCTGTTCATTACGTAGCTGGCCGTTCCTGAGTGACATGGGAGGGAAGAGGGCCAGCTGCAGGAAACCTCTTCAGCACGCTTTTTATGGAGAACTGGTAATGATTTTGGGGAAGGCTGGTGTCTGAAGATGGATGTGGGTGAAGATTAAAGGGCCACTGTAAAATCTAGTAATAGTGGATGAGGATGGCTTTGGAAAAGCTTGGAATGCAGCAGTAGCTCATGGATGCTTTCTGGCATCTCCAGAGGAAACAGTTTACTTCCTCTGTTAACAGACACTGTGCTTGGTAAATCTTGAGAATGCTTTTCTGTCACCTACTACAAAGGAAAGGCTGTGCTGTTACATTATAAAAAAGAGCTTTTGCATCTTGAAGAATTAGAGGTTACTTCAGCTGTGGATTGATTTGTGCTTTGGGGTTGAAGACTTGGCTGCTCTCTCTTTTTCTGCCACTGGGTGATAGTCAAACATAAACTATTGTTCAATTTCCTCACCTTTGAAAAGGAAACAATGAAGATTTGCTTGATAGAGAATGAAAAGCACCAGAGAAGGGGAAGATGATGTTAAAAATGTTATCTGCTTTCACTGGCCTTCTGTGCTTGTCTCTATTAATGGAGGGGTATGCAAAGGAAAGTGATTATTCTGTCAGTGCTTTTGACACCTTGTTCTGTGTTACTACCAGACTGTAGCAGTCCTGTGGCAAGTGGCTGATGGTTGCCGGATCAGCCTGACTCTTCCTGTACGGGCCAGGGTCTGCAAGCACTTTGGCTTGACTTGGTGGTGACGATTTGGGAAGGAGCTCAGTAAGAGTTGAAAGCAGCCCAGCAGATGAGCTGCTGCAGGCTCTGACCTTTGGTGCAGCTAAGCCCTATCTTCATAGCTTGTGGATAGAGGTGGAGTGATACTGTGTAAGTGTGAAAGGCTGGAGAGGTATGACCTGCCATGGGAGGGGACAGACTTGTTGCTGCCTCTGAAGAAGGGCTGAGAATGTGACACACTTGCAACGTCTTCTGGGAAAACCCAGCACAGGGCAGGCTGTTTACACGGCAGCTGGTTAGCATTGCTCTGCCAGGCCTTGCAGCCATCTGTCCCATTCTGATGGCATACAAAAGTTTGAACTTGATGGGATCATAAATTGGGGTTGGCAATTCTGTTGTGGGGCTTGTTTCATGCTGGTGCTTTGGTAGTCTTGGGGCAAGTACAGCTTCGCCTGTTGCTGCATAGTTACCTCTAGTGATTCACTTGTGCTGCCTTTTGTAGTGTAGTCCTGTATGTTTTGACATGCCAGATGTGATGGCTTTTCTGTGACCATTTCCCTTGTAAGACACTGTCCCTGAAGTTATGAGTGGGAAAGGAAGTAGATTGCAGTGCTGCTGATGCTTAAGAAGGATAAGACACATGAAGAGTTGTGTCTTGGGAGTTCTTTGGTTCTGATCCTTTTTCTACTGTTCTACCCCCTCACTCCTTCCTGGCCACTGTTGGAGACTCGCTTAGTACACTGATGATCCTGTGGTCCCACCAAGAAGTTCTTTTTTTTGTTCTCTCTGAGCTCCATAGCGAGTACTGCAGACCCAGAGGTCTTGGGTGCTGCTTTTCTTGGAGAAGAAGAAACGAGAATGCCGAATATGAAAGGTGTCTAACACAGTGTGACTTTTGTGTGGTTTAGTCCAAACTATCAGACAGTGTCCAGGCATAAGTATCTCAGGCAGGTGCAAAAAGATTAGAAATGGTTAATCAGGGCAGAACTGAAGCCCAGAAGCAGCTTCCTCTAACCTGAAAATACCTGATGCCCTTATTCACTGGGGCTGTTGCCTTTTGAGCTCTTCCCTTAATCCTGTGGTAGCGAGGAGGGTTGTTTTGCCAAGTGGTACAGTCAGGGCAGGAGGCTGGACACGATGAAGATACTGGAGCTGTCTGCACAGGTCTTCCTATAGGGAGCAATTTGCCTGTAGCATGGAGAAAGCTGAGCTGATGCCTTGGGCACTTGGGCTTTTTCTTGGCCCTGGCATCCCATGGGAGTTCAGTCACTACTTGTCCTTTCTGGCTGGTGGTGCAGGTTCTTTGCTGGCCAGGCCTCTTCTAGCTACAGCCACACTAGAAATCACTGCAGGCAGGCTAAAGGCAGGCTCTGCGCTGAGGGCAGGAGGTGAATTCTGGGAGTAGGGTACAGAGGCAAGTGGGAATTCATGCCCATGGAAGTCTTTAGTTCTGGTGTCCTGCCCTGCCTGTTGTTGCGTCTGCCCCGAGCAATAGAAATTTCTCATTGTTCTTGTCTGTACTTCTTTGGGATGTAGCTGAATAGCTGTCAGTCTAAATGAGTTTGTCTAAAGGTTAAGCCTTTGGACAGAGTGTGCAATTCTTCTCAGTTTAATTTCTCAGAATTAATAAAGCCTGTCTGTCCAGCTTCTACAAATAGAGAGAGTTCACAGATACAGGTCCAGTCAGTCAGCAGTTCCCTTAAAAAAAAAAAAAAAAGACTGCTAAAGGCTGGAAACCACCAAATGTAAACTGTGGTGGGTGGCACAGCTTAGTATCATTCTAAGCAACAAACTGCATGGTGACAGGCTGCTTAACCAGGCCATTGGTATTTCATTTGTCAGAAGGACCTTAACCTTCCATTTTAGCTGGAGCTTTATGGATGTAAACATGGGTCAGTCTTTTCCTCAGAGGGAGGTGATCTGGCTGTCTCCTGTGTTTTTGTAGTGACCTGAAACTTCTCTGCAAGGTTTTTCACTGCTGTGCTTGGCCCTGCAAGTTAGAGCTCAGCCGGAAGCAGAGCAGGATGGTGGCATGTGAGGCACCAAGGAGAAAGTCAGTATGCTTGACGCTTCCTGACGAGAGGGATGTTTGCACCAAGACTGCCGATACCTCCATGGCCAAGAAAATTGAAAGGAAGCTGTCATGATGGCCCCCATGCTGGTGGGGGATCAGGGTGGAACTGCAGCGGTACCAGGTAGAGGTGTCACTGTGCAGTTTAAGGACATGTGTCTGAATGCAGGGTCTGCGTACCTCCAGTCCATGGAGACCCCAAGTCTGCAGAGGCTGGAAGGAGTGCCTTTCTTGAGCTCAGATGGTGTTGGCTCCTGTTCCTGGTGCTGTGCTGGATCCTGATAAGCCATCTAGTATGCAGAAATGGGGCGGTCTGCTGTAGAACCCAGGTGAAACTGGTTGACTGGCACACACTTCTTTGATTACGCAGCATAAGGGGTGCGTAAGAACAGTATTTTCATAGATACTCAGGTGTTTTAATCCCTGATGGTTCCTCAGATGCAGTCCTCCCAGAGTAACGCAACACATTGAAATGCCTGTGGAATGAACAAGCTGGCATAAACTCCCCTTGGTGCCCGTGTGAAGGCTGCTTTTATGGGCTCGTTCCACTTCCACAGGAGCATGACTCGGTGGCATGTTGCAGTTCCAGATGGATGGTGACGCATCTGCCTTGAGCAATGGGGAAAGCTGGAACAAGCCAGGCTTGGTAATGAGACTGTCTCCTCCCTTGATGGTATCAATGCAGGATTGTGGCACCTTCGCAGCTCTGGGGCTGGCTCCTCTCCAGTGTGGATGCGTTGCCCCACTGCAAGAAGCAGGAACACTTACAGCAGTATCCAAATGTCTTGTCAGGGCAAGATCGTTCTTTGGTGTCAGGAGAAAGGAGCTGTGGTTCCCTTAGAAGGGAGGTAACCCCCTGCACAACTCCCAGAGGAGCCTGAGGGTGCTTCCTGTGTCTTACCCAGGCTTCTATGGGGACAGACTGTGGCCTGTGGGAGAACAGTGTCCTCTCTCCTGAAGGGCTTGGGAAAATCTTTGCTGTACCATAAAGGCTTGCAGTAAAACAGCCCAAGGAAAAGGAACTGAGCTGGAGTACACCACAGCTGTGCATTCTAAAGTTACGTTTTGTTCTCCTGTGCTGGTGGAACAAATGTTTCTGCAGGGCACAAGTATCAAGATTTTGCTGAAGCTATTTAAAACGCAGTTCCACAGCTAACTGCCCTGTCCCTCTTCCAGAGCAAACCCATAGCAGAGCTGGTGGACGTAGCTCCTGATGCTTTTGCAAAGGTTGGCATCTTGGTGTAAACAGCTGATGGAAGTGATTGCAAAGCCTTGGCATAGATCGGATTCCTTTAAATCTGAGTCTGCTTTGTGGCAGTAACCTCTGCAGATGAGGTAACGACCTCCTCAGCTTTGTGTCTGTCCGCTCAGCGATCGCAGCAGAGATCTGATGATGCTGACACTTGGACCTTCTCACCTAGCTTGCTTAGAAAACAGAGTGCTGTAAAAGAATAAGCACATGGGGCACCTCATTTTTGCTGCCTTGTTTGAGGCAGGGACTGAAAAACTGAGCAGTAAGTGGTTGTAGTCAGCTATATGTGTTTCCCCCAGCCAGCATAAGTCATGTCTCCTTATCCAGCTGCTGCCAGTGGAACCTTTTCTTGGTTCTGTGCAGCTGC